GCGCCCGCCCCCAATCCTGGACCTGAATTTAAGCCCATTTTCAGTACGATGTCCGTAAGTTTTCAAAATCCCAAATATCGGAACCCCACACTGGCCATATATATATATATATATATGCCTGGTAGCGCACGCCCAGCTGCCAGGTGTGATTCTTTGATTTATCCCGCTCATTCGACCTCTCATCGACATCGGTTTATAACGACGTCACTTACTCCGAGAGGTGAAACCCACCGTGCCCGCAGGTACCTTCAGCTGCGCCTATGCACTGAAGGTCCGCCTCAGAAGGCTCCAGCAGTAGCTGCCAGGTAAAAGGAAATGATGTCTGGTTCGGATGTTTGTCCCCGGAAGACGGTCTCCCGGACGTGAATCTAGGACCATCTCCGAGCACACAGATACCCCCCCCCCCCCCCCCCCCCCCCTGAGCCTGGTTACTCAGAGAGCACCTTACAACTTGAGCACCTTACAACTTCGACTTTGCCCGATTCGAACCTGCCCTTTTTTAATAATAGTTCTTTTAACGTCCCCCGACCTGCAGCCCGAAGGCGTACGGGCATGACATGGGATGGTCAGCGCATCGGCCGTCTGATGTGCTATCTTACTCCCCGCGTCGTCTCTCCTCCACGAACCTTGCTCGTCGTCGCATCGCGCCGCCGCGATCCTGCGCATAATTACAACAAAACATACACGCCAAAACCTCCGTATAGCCTGAACCGTGCTATGCTGTATCCGCAAAATGCGGGTACAGCAGCCCAGCACGTGGCGTGGTGTGTGTAGGCTATCCTATTACTTGTCTTAGGAAGGGTGCGGCTCCGCGTTGTCTAGGCGGCGGCCTTGCCCTGTGTGTTTCTGCTGGTTTTCGTTCTAGTGTTTTGGTGCTTGATCGTGTTATCCTCTTTTGGCTGGGCGTTGGAGATGCTTCACTTTTCCGTTTGTTATTCGTGGCTCCTTGCTATGGGTGTTCGGACTTGTTGTTTTCACCTTTGAGGTTTTGGTTCCGTGTTAGTATTTGTTTCTGACTTTCCTCCGGTGTTGTTTCTTGTCTGGCTGTCTTCTGTTTGTTAAATGTTGAGTATTTTTTTTTTTTATCGCCGGATATAGACCCGGGTATTTATGTGTGTATGTATTTACAATTAAATTATTTAGGTGGAGGCCTATGACCCAACGGTAGGTCTGCGAGCCAAGCACGAGGCACACAGAGCAAACGGCGTAAGATTTCACTACGCAGGGCTCAGGTAAGGGTGTGTGTGTGTGTGTGTGTGTTAGAGGGGAAGAGGGGGGGGCGGGGGTGGGGGGGGTATGCTTGGGACGGGTTCGGCAAGAGAGCAGACGGCGTATGTAGGTATGCAGGGCTCAGGTAACTATGGCGGGCGGTAGT